CATCTGAGTCCCAGTCCCATGCTCTTAACCACTACACCACACTGGCTCTTATGGTGCATGTTCTAACATTTTTCATCTCCACCAGGAAGAGACCTTTTGCAAATGTAATGGATCTAAATTGCCCATTAAAGATCAACTCGCTCACAATATACTGTTGCTGGGGAAACCCATCCCCTTCTTGCACAGCTACTAAGAACCCTGAGAGGGTAGCCAAGGATTTCATTATCTCTATGACTCAGAAAGTTCTGGCACTTCGTTGCTCTGTGTCCTAGCCTAGGCCCACCAACCTCTGGTGGTGGGAGGAAGTTCCAGTGTTTGCTATCTAAACAGGTATGTGGAATTCAAGCAGCTATTGCAGGCACAGCTGGTAAAGCATTTCCACAACATAAGTTAGTCATTAGACTTAAAAGAAATTCCAGAATCTTAGCAAGATAGGTTGTGGCTGGACCCAACTGGTTTTCATTTTGTGAAACTGTGTGGGAGAATAGCTGCACATTTCCATCCTGGGAAAGACTTTTGGTCAGTTATGGGATGCACAACACTGTATGCACTAGTGACCCTTATTTAGACTGCCATCTTACATGCAATGACGTGGAAGTACTTCTCACTGGATTCAGGAGGACTCCTGAGGCAACACAATTGAAAAGAGGCTTTGCTTTCATCATGAACCAAAGAGAACTTAATAACTATTTCACAGAGAGAAAATATTACTTGCAATGCCAAAAGTTAATTAAAACCTGCATTTAGCTGTGCATTGGAACACATTCACTTTAAGACATCAGTATTCTGCATGTATATGATTATTCTATGAGTCTGAGCAGCAAATTTCCTGCTTCAGCAGAGGTTGGGCTAGATGACCTTTGAGGTTTCTTCTAATTCTGTGATTCTGTTGTCTTATAGCCAAGACACAACAGAAATCTATGAGATAGCTGAGTAATAGTTCACTGTATACGGAAAGGTTTTAAGAAGCAATTTTGTTCACCATGTCTGCATGACATCACGCTTTCAGATAATGAGTAATAGCAAAGATGAACATCAAGCTGCTTGTTTAAAAATAACATTAAACTACAATTGAATATTGTTTTGTTGGCACAACAACACCCATAAATGAACTAATCTATAGAAAGTCTGACACCATGAGCTTTTTAAAATAGGTCCAAATAATTACCCAATGTTTCTGCAAAAGAAAGGAACATTTGTTGATGATGCATGCTTTTGTTACCTTCCATAAAAGATTGTCATGACTCACTGAATGATGTGTACTGCAAATATACATCAACATATTCAGTATGTATCAAATCTTACCACCTACCTCCTCCATTGTTTGAATGATTTAAGCACAAGAAATTAATTGTCCAGGGTTTTTTTCCTGCACTGGCCATTGTTATCTAGTCTTCAGAGAGATTTTAACACAGCTAGTAGGTCATATCAGTGCTTCTTATTAATGCTCTAATACAAGCTGAAGAGTAAAAGAATAATTGATAGCTAAAATGTCTCTTTCCGATGCAGAAAAAGAAATGTGAAAAACAATCTTTATGCAAAAAACTGATAATCCCTTTAAAATTCATATATGCACCCTATAAATTAATTAAAGTTGTTGTACAATGTCAACGTTTCAAGCCCCTCAAAATGAAAGAAGCCCCAGCAGAATTATTATGGTTTTAAATGGTTCTACAAAGGGAAAAAATTACTTAGTGCTCAAATCCTAACCATTCGGTAATATCTATCATGCTTCCTAATGAAGATGTTGAAAAGCAAATAGCAGTTTCAAAGAGACAATTTTTATTACAACCATGGAAGTGACAGACAGATGAAGAGAGGAAAAAGTAAAATTCCTCTTTTCCTCCACAGAATGCTTGGGCTTTTCTGTGCTGCTATGTGCACAACGAAACTGTTCACATAATCTCTCTCTCTCTCTCTCTCTCTCTCTCTCTCTCTCTCTCTCTCTCTCTCTCTCCACACACACACACACACACACACACACACACACACACACACACACACACTTGACATAACTTTTAGTTGGGCTTCAGTATGGTATCACACTTTGTAGCCAATCAGATATGCCCCTGTGATTGTGTTGATGAGAGTGAGGACAAATGAAGTCACTCAAGAGTGATATCTATCAGCCATCTGAGTTATCATAACCCATCCAGAATCTTATGGGTACATGAGAAGATTTCACATCTGTATGGAGCTAGACAGATTTCGCAATGTGATGATGACAGGATAAATGAAATCAGTCAGGAGTGAGGGCTGGCAGGTACATCACCTTCACCACCATCATTTTATAGCTTTACTTTCTGATGTCTATATTGTTTTACAATTGTAATTACTAATTGTTTTAATTATTGAATTGTTTTACAAGAAAATTAAATGTACTAAAATACATGATATATGGTAAAATACGATAGTAATGCTAAAAGATGGATGATCAAGAGAGTCAGGAAAGAATGTAGTGAGTGGAATGATGTGAGGACATATGTAACCAGTCAGATACGCTTATTTGTGTGCATCAACAAGGACATACAGAGTTGAGGGAAAGCAAGAAAAGACTTGTCAAAGAACGTGTTATTCAGCATTGTTAGAAAATCATCAGGCAAGGAGTGTACTTATGATGCTCAAAAATATTCTCCCAGTGCAGCAGACCATCTACTTAACCCTAAAAATACTACAGAGTATAACAATTGCATGTAAGCAGTGCATTCTGATACAGTCCAGGGAAAAAATCTAATTCTACTAAGGGGCTGTGATAGAATAGTGAGAAAAGTACAGGACAGGAAAATAAGTAATTAGAGACTAGTGAGGAAACTGTGGCTACAACCTCCAGAATGAGAGGTTGTAACAAATCCTACTAGTCCAAACACTGCTAAGCTGCACCCACCCAAATTTCCTGCCTGCTTAACCTTAGCCCTACCCTAGGTGGAAGGTCCTCATATTCGCCACAATAAATAGATGGAAACGTTGCATTCAAAACAATGCTTCTCTGAATACCAGTTCCTGGAGACAGAGAAGGCCCACTGTTTTCATGCTCAGAAACTCCCCAGAAGTGTTTGGTTGGCTACTGCTTGAATACTGGACTAGACAGAGACAAGTGACTTGCCCAAGCTCACAAGCTGAGTTTATGGTGGGAATAGGTCCCAATCCACAAGTGCTGTGTTGACTCCATATTTGCTGCTTTTTATAGAAGGTGTCAGTGAAGCTGAGAGATTAGTAATTTTCCAAGGACTTAAATGGAACCCTAGGCAAAAAACAAAATCCTTAAATTCCTCTTCACTTAATTTCCAACAAAACATTCCCATCACACACAGGTCTCCCAAAAGTTGATTTCCTACCTGTACCTGTTCCTCTTAGGTAAATCCTCTTCAATGAATTTACCACTAAGGCACCCAGCCACAAATTGTATTCCCCTTCAATAATTTATCCCCAGCCACTTCTCCTCCGCCTACCTAACTGCTTAAAAAATACTGACGAAGATAACAATTTGAATGATAGTTGTATATGAATTACATTAATTGGTGTAAATCTAGCCTACCTGCATTGGATACCTGTACTGAGCATACAATTCAAAGTGCTGCTTCTAAACTATAAAGCTCTACACAGCAGTATTTGATGAGATGTCCAACTCCAATCTATCCAGGTTCTACAGTCTACATCTGAGGCCATCCTCCAATTTGCCACCTCCAGGGATGCCTAGATGAGAGCCGCCCCAAGGCTTTGTTGCTATGGGGGCGGCATACAAATAAATAAATAAATAAAAAGGAAGACGGCCTTCTCAGTGGAGATTCTCCAATTAGGGAATGATCTTCCCATTCACACTTGCACCAATAGGGCCATTTTTTCTGCATAGGATTAAGACTGCTCTCCACTCCCAGGCATTTAATAGCATTCAGTGGGATCTATCAACTGTATTAACAGTTTTAGTTAGTTTTTATTGACATTGTTTTAGTGGTTTAAACTGTTTTCAATGTTCTACATTGACTTTTTCGGCTTTATATTATTGTTTGTTTACTTCTAGTGTTATCCATTATTATTATTTTGCCTATGTTCATGACTTTTGTTATACTGTTCATCATCATCATTTAGTACCTATATCGATTGATTTGGCCCTACTTTGTACTCAAGTTACCTTACAATCACTAAGGGTGCATGTTTAGACCAAATAAATAAATAATTCCTACAGTTCCTAACATGCTTCATCCAGCCAGTAGTTGGGCTATATTCTGTTTAAATATGCAAAGGAATGCATCTTAATAAGACTTGATGAAAGCAATAATAAGCAAATACATAAAAACATAATTAAAAATGCATCAACGACAGAGTAAAAACAGCATTTAGCTATATGAGGAAGCAGGGACAAATCTTGCATAGCTTCATTTGCCTCTGCTGTATCCTGTGCTAGAGCTTCGGGGCCTTATGTCCAGACACCAATCTTGAATGGAATACATAGTAGGGTTTCTCTGTGTATATTTGCCCTCATGTTGATAGGTCAGTGTGCTCTGAGAGTGGCCTGTCAAAGAAGCCATATGCTTATCTCTGAGTTTTTCTTGTATGTGGTTTGACAGCATGTATCAGCCTTGGCCAACACACTTGCCAGCTGTGCTACGGGGGGGGGGGGGAGCGGTGGTTTGGAGAAAGAACAAGCCAACTCCTTAAAGCTGGGAAACATGACAGTTGGTAACCAACTGGCATCCACAGAAATGAAGCTAAAAGTAAAGAAATACAGTAGTGGTGGTGAAAGAGGCCATGAAGTGAAAGTAATGCCAGAGAGGAAGAAAGGGAGATGGGAATTCCTTGCCCAGATATGTGTCCGGGAAGCTAAAATGCTGTAGTCCCCAGTTTTGAGCTGCAGAATATTGCTCATTTCCTTATCTATGCTTTTAATGGACTGATACGAAATTGCGATATCATGCCTTCTAGTGGGAAAATGGGTGCATGATATGAAGACGCCTAAGCTGAAACCAATGCTTATCTTTTTAATATTTTATTTTACATTGTAGTTGGCAACTGAGAGGATAAATTTAAAACCAGAAAGATGGGCCAGCAGGGAAGGTGGCAGTGGGGATGGAATGAATGAAGAGCTGGAATCAAGTGGAGACTGTGATGATGAGGATGGATGTCAAGGATCAGGTGACAGGAGCTACACAAAAGGTAGGAGCAATCATTTTCTAAATGTGCACTTGCAGGATTCAACAAAGTTGTGTTTCTCTATGTTAATGGCTACTTTTGGGTATAAAGCTAAACTGTACTTTAGTGCTACACGGGCAATCCTGTTTTCCCACCCAGGTCACGCACTTCTCTCCTCTTCTCATGAAGAAAAGAGGAATAGTTTGGCTTTTCCTTTCAGTTTGGTTTACCTTAGCTTGCCATGTCATTCAGCCTGCGAATATGGCTAAATAGTAACTATGGATGGCTGCAAAAACACAACCTTGGCTTCTTGAAACTAAAGACTGGGTTTAAAAAAGCATGTTGATTTGAATTCCAGAGTTGCATGTGGATTGTTCTTGAAATGTGGGTTGCTATTGAAATATGGGTTATCATGTTGTCTGAAACTTGCTGTGCTAACAAGCAATGGCTTGTTAACCATGCACCATGAAGAAAACCCAGCATTTGTGGTTGGATTGTGAAGTATGGGTTGTTCTCCATGGTTTGTTATCTCAGCTGGTTCAGACAGCATAATAGCCCATATTTCAACAACAGCCCATGGTTCAACAACAATCCATGCTTATCCCTTGAGTGTGGATTATCATATTGTATAAACCCAGTCCATTGGTATTCAGCCATAATCCCTGGTTAACTACAAGCAGAAGCAAAAACCCCTCCCCTCCCCTCCCCTCCCCTCCGCCAATTTGAAGAGAAAGCTTAGGTTCCTCAGCCTGGGAAGAGTCTGTGTTTGTTCATGTAGCTTTAAACCATGGTTTGGCATTATCTGTTTGTCTGAGCAAGACTAGTATGACTGAATTATTTTGCTATGATAGTGTGGTTCAACAATTCTATGAACTGTAGCTTGTTAACATAGTTCTGAGTGTTCATAAAAACCCACTATTGTCCTTCAGCAATGACATTTTACTAAAGAATTGTTGCTTGTCTGTTGTTCCTTGTTCCTAAAAATAGATTTGATTATATTAATTTCTATGCATTATGCCTAACTTGACAAGGCAAACATATAACCATAAACTAAAGCACTGTGCTGCTCTATAGGGTACGAACTCCTCTTGTTTCACCAGTGTCTACTGGTACCTGGTCTTGGGCACTGTTCCACTCAAACATCAATAAGGCTTTTCTATTCTTGGTTTTTTTTTCCAAGTTTAGTCTCCCCCAAACCCAATGTTAGCACTCATTCTAGAAAACTCATGTCATGTGTTGCTTTCTGTGTGCTTCAACTAGGGTTTTAGATTTCTTAAGTGCTTTAAGTGAGATGTTTTCTCTTCAAAGTAGTACAAATTAAACAGCAGCCAGGTGCTACTAAGTACATTTTAATTGACTATTAAGCTATTTATATGCTATCGCTGTGCTAGAATACACCAAGAAGCCATCATCTTTCAGACATTCAGTAATATATAATAAAAAGCATTCTAAACCTGGTTAATAGTGAAGCTCATCAACACAAACATGGTGTATGGAATCTGCATTCTCTGCATCCCCTGAGATTTCCATAAATTGTGAGGGGGGGAAGAATTAATTTTCATAAATACTGATACAGTGATTTCGTAGGAACCATATCTGCTAAAAAATATGGTCCAAATAAATTGTCGAAAATGCTCAGGCTTTGTAACATTAAGAACAGCAATTCCATCTTGAGAAAATTATAGTGGTATTTTGTAATTAACTTTAAAGTACTGTTATGTGTTTAGGCCACTAGCTGTAAATCTGTTTTGCATATCTCGACTCAATTAAGAGAGAGAGAATGGGGGAGTAATCCAATTAAAGGCTCCTCTGCTTTAATAGTACTATGATTTCCCCCCTCCCCCGAATCCTAGTAATTGCATTCAGTGTCAGTTTTATAGAATGTTGCAGCCCTTGTTATGTTTAAACTAGTTCCATATTATGGATATGTACATTTGGCAGCTAGAGACACACCCAGGATCTTTGCCCCCGCCCCCGGAAAATAACCGAAATAACTAATTAGCACAAGTTAAAACATGAGTTTAAACATCTTCCATTTTGGCAGCAGCTTCCCCAGATGTTTATGACATGTGGCTAGTGCTTAGTAGGCTGTCACAAACCAGAGACAATGAGCTCATCACCTGAACCTGTTTGTGATGAACAAGCATGGGAGGGGCTTGTTGATTGTTGCTGGAGCAGAGGGAATCACACTGGCTCACTTCTTGGAGTCTTTGTTAGTGCAGGGATGGCTACATTGAAGTGTGCCTAGGGCAGTAATGGTGAACCTTTTAGAGACCAAGTGCCCAAACTGCAACCCAAAACCCACTTATTTATTGCAAATTGCCAGCACTGCAGTAAAATCTGAAAACTGAGGTTTTAGTTTAGAAAAAAACACCTCTCAGCCAGTCCAAGCAAATGTATATATATCCTTGGCAGCGCACTGACTGGTTATGCGAAAGCTTGGACGAGTTGCAACTAATGAGTCACAGCCAGTGACCTCATCACCTGGTGCTGCTACTCCTTTCCGAGCATGGGCATGGCCCCTTTGTGCACTGTTAGCTGATGCTCGGCTGCTGGGGCAATGCTGGGGTGACTGGGCTTGCATGCTGAAAGAGAGGGCTCTGCGTGCTCACTGTGGCACGGATGCCATATGTTCACCACCCCTGGCCAAACCCTACCCTGGTGCACTCCCCTAACCCTAATACAGGGGTAAAATACCATTGAAAATAATGTGATTTTGAAAAAGCCTTCCTTTAGTAGTTTTTTCTGCACAGCTCATCATTTCTGCCATTCTAAACACATTCCAACCATCAAAATCATGCCAGGACACCACGTTTTTCTTACCTTAAGCCAGTGATGGTGAACCTTTTAGAGACTGAGTGCCCAAACTGCAACCCAAAACTCACTTATTTATCACAATGTGTCAACACTGCAATAAAATCTGAAAACTGAGGTATTAGTTTAAAAAAAAAACAACTCACAGCCAGTTCAAGCATGTCTGTCTGTCTGTCTGTATCTATCCTCGGCAGTGCACTGACCGGCCATGCAAAAGCTTGGACCAGTCGCGGCTAATGAGTTGCGGCCAGTGACCTCATCACCTGGTGCCACTACTCCTTCCCAAGCATGCGCGTGGCTCCTATGTATGCTGGCATCTGATGTTCGGCTGCTGGGGCGACTTGGCTCGTATGCTGACAGAGAGGGCTCTGCATGCTCACTGTGACACATGTGCCATAGGTTCGCCACCACTGGCCTAGGGCTTATTCTCCCTTCCCCAGCTACTTCTAACATTATACATTAATAGCATTTTAGGGAAGAACCTAACAGCACAAGCAGTGGCATAAATGTTTTAAAAACAGCCATTGCCAACCTGTCTGTTCCTCACCCAGTCCAGTGGATTGCTCCCTACTCCCTGAAATAAATTCATTTCTAAGGTGGGCTAATTCTGGGCTACATAGCACCCAGAATTAAGCGATATGAAGCCATTTTCAGAAACAGAAAATGATCTTTTCCTTATATAAACTGGCCATGTTCAGTGAGGTAAAAAATACATTGAGAATTTCTCAGTAGTTGGAAGCTGCAACTTCTACAAAATGTGGTGGTGAGACAGTGGTCAGTAGAAGGTCTGAATATATAACACTGATTCTGATCTCACCTGGCACTGGTGATCTTTATGTTTCCAGGACCAATCTGAGGTACTGGTTTTAAGTATAAAACCTCATCCTTCTCAAAACAGCAGTACCTGATGAAGCAGCTCTCCTAGAATCATCTGCAGCTTTCTTTCAAGAGCCTCCCTTGAGGGAAGCTGAGAAGCTGGCTGCACAGGAGAAGGCTGCCTTGATGGTCCCTCTTCCAAATATGGAACCCTCTCCCCATTGCGGATTGTCTGACTCCCACAATGCCATCTTTCTGGCACCAGATTCAGACTTTCCTCTACTCCCAGACATATGATATGATAAGGCTCTTTTCTGGGTCCAGAGATATATTGTTTTATATATTTTAAAGGTATGTGGCTTTATTTTGAGAATTTTAATCTTTGTAAAGGATTGTCCAGATAGCTTTGGCTATTTAGCAGTATACAAATGAACTAAATGAGTTAAATGAATGAAGATCTCTTTGGGAAAATCAGTATGATAGAAAAAAATTCCCAATGAACTATATCAGTTATTGTTCTAAGGTTCATTATTGTCCAGATAAGTCAACAAGATTTCTAGTAAGGTTAAGGATTAAAGATCATGAATGAATTTCATTGTTTGAATAATCTTCTTTGGATCAGTCCAGTGTTGGGACATTTCTCTACAGTTTGTAAATATTTAATAGATAATAAGCATCTATTCTAAGCATCTTATAAAATAAGTAGCACATTGTGTGCAACAGAACATAGTGGAAACTATACATTTTCTTGTTTTTGATAAGTTTTGGCGGGGGACCCAATGTGCCATTGATGGGAAGGGATAGTTTCAGCTGGGATTGTATTCATTTTAATAACAGGCAGTTTTCTGTTTGATTGATTTTCAAAATCTTTTTACAATTTCTTGCATGCTTTTGGTGTCATCTTAGAACAAATTTGCCACTTTTTTCTTGATAGATAACTTTCGATCCACATGGTGACACCAGCAGGTTGAATAGTAAATGAGTAGGTTTAATACAGGGACTGTGGGTGGCACAGTGGTTTGAGCTGCTGGGCTAGTTGATCAAAAGGTCGACAGTTCAAATCCGCAGACAGGGTGAGCTCCCATGCTTTGTCCCAGCTCCTGCCAACCTTGCAGTTCGAAGCATATAAAGGCAAGTAGATAAACAGGTACCACTTCAGTGGGAAGGTAACAGTGTTCCATGCACTTTGGTGTTTAGTCATGCTGGCCACATGACCAAGGAAACTGTCTGTGGACAAACGCTGGCTCCCTCGGCTAGGAAACGGAGAAGAGCACTGCCTCCAAGAGTGGACTGGACTTTAATGTCATGGGGAAACCTTTACCTTTACCTTTTTTAGGTATAATACAGGGGGAAAAACTAGCTCTAATGAGGTCTGTGCTTAATGTTACCTGTAT